TTATGGAATTAAAGAAAGATTCTATAACCGTAAGTTATGACTATTATGTCATTGATACATTTTAATGTTAAGAGTAAGATAGTTCAATGTAGATTATTCTTTTTTGTATAAATTTGGTGGTTTTTTTTTATAAATTCTAACTACTGTACTTAACAAGTAGTGTTTGGATTAGGCGGTATAGTTCTGTACCCGTGCTTCTCATACGGTATAGTACATCTTCTTGTTGCGAAGCACGGGTACTGAAGCTAGATATAAAAAGACAGTCCTGCGAACTCGTAATATCTGTCAAGCAAAATGGCAGGCAAACGAAGGGACGCACCACTCACCAGAGAGGGGTTTAATCTCCCCTCGAGGGGCTAAATTCAACCGATTGTTTCGTGTTTAGGAAACAAATTAATAAATACAAGATATTAATTTCAGGGTGCTTAGTTTTTTTTTATTTACTACCTTGAAGCATTAGGATTAACGTAGATACATCCAGGGCCAAAATTAGCTCGATGTCGCCCCTGGCTGGAGCGATTTTAAGAGCTGTCCCCTCGTCTCGCGTGCACCGTGCATTAACAATACTTAACGCGTAGAATTTACCATACAGATTTTTTTACTGCTGAGACGAGGGTACAGCTCTTGAGTCGGCCCAGGGATGCGTTGAGGAAAATTCGGCCCGGGATGGGTCTAAACATATTTTTATGCATGGATGTTTTCCTAATAAGTTGACTTTACAGGGTAGATTTAAAACAAAATCGAACTTTGGTTACTGTACAAGAAAAAAGAAACAATGGTTTATGAATAGATAAAGTATGACATAATTTTAACATTGATGACAATAAATAAATAGTAAACAATACAATGACCCTATGTATAAATAATACTGGTGACGGATCTACAGGGGAGGGCGTCTAGGTGCCGCCACGATAAGGGGCCACCACGACAACTTGCCACCATAAAGGAGTTTGAGGTAGCGGGTTGTCGTGGCCCGTGGGGGCACCTTGTCGAGGGGCTCCGGGGACATCTAGACGGGGACTCTCCAGGAATTTTTGTGGTGATGGGTTGTCAGTGTTGTCACTTCTGACCTGACTAAAACACCGCGAGGTTCGATTCGAGGTGGTGGTGGGTTGTCGTGGTGGCACATTGACTTTACCAACGACCCTTCTAAGAACTTTTTACGAACAAAGCTTATCTTTCGATAATTGAAACATTTTTTACCAAGCAGATTTGTAACGTTTTAATTTTTCGAGTTTCGATGGGATAATTATAATCTGGAAATTTATACGGGTTTGATTTGAATGTTAACGTTTTATTTAGACGTTTAAGAGTCAATAACTCATTACTCACTCACTCATGTGACATATATATGCAATGCGACAGTTACGAAATACTATTATTTTATCATATTGGCATTGATTCTTGCAGCTGTGTAACTTTGACTACAAACTAAACTTCAACAGTCAGGTCTCAATCTTGCATTAGTCATAGTTTTGTTTTGTACTGTTTTCAGGTTATAAGAAAAAATGTACTTAATATCCATCTTAAATTAATCAATTCCTCATTAGTAACATGAAGATAAATTTTGTATAGCAGCAGCCAAAATTCAAATCTACCTAGCCTATGAAAAGTAAGCCTAATTCTAAATTTGTAATCAAGAAATTGTACATTTTTTACTAACATGGATGTTGATAACGATTTGGTTGATCAGACCCTTCTACAGCAATTTAGCTGTATGGGAACTTCAGATAAAGACGAACTTATCCAACAACTTCAAAAATTAGCAGGAGACAACATCAATGCTTCAACAGCAACATTTTTCTTGGACATGAATAACTGGTAAGTAAACAAGGTCAACCTTATGCTTCATAAAAATCAAGGCCCTTGGCTGAAAGGTTATGAATTAACTTATTTATCGGAAGTAATTGATAGAGCCTAAAACGTATTAATCTGTTTATTATGTTTGACGTAGGCTTAGCCTTAGCTGCATGTAAACAAGAGTTAGGCCTAACTTAATATTAACTTATAGGCCTATGCATCACCTTGACTTCTTATTAATAGGCCTACAGGTAATAGAAAATAGTAAAATTTAGGTCTAAACTACCGGTATGAATGTCATCAAGTCTTAGAAATTTCCAACAGGGGTTACACCCAGGGCCGTCCCTAGGGTTGGTGGCGCCTGGAGCAAACATGGTCATGGCGCCCCCTTCCCCACCAGCAGTAATAGTCGCATTCGCATATTTTGTTACTATGTTAATACAAATAGCCGCTGTGTGGCGTCCCCTCAGCCATGGAGCCCAGGGCAGCTTGCCCCGGTGGCCCCCCCTGTTCGCACGGCTCTGGTTAGCCTACACCAGATACTTAAATTGTCCGACTCAAGCTTTAAAAAGTTTTGGTTAGCCTAGGCCTCTAAGGAAATGAATTGTTAGTTTATATGTTATCTGCAGACTGTTTTTGTATAATTAAAACACTAGGGGAAATGCTGTAAAATACTGTCCACGTGCCGACAGACGAGGTGTGTGTTTAGCCATTTAATAAGCTGGGTAGCGATATTTTCGTCTGTGCGCAGAGACACATGTCTGCAGATGGATGGAAGCCCGGTGTGTGTTGCCCTTAGCTAAATGTATGCTGTTACCAATGTTAAGTTATTGCAATTTCATCCATGAGGGTAGGTTTTTCCCTCAATTAAATGAAGGCATAAGTTAAGTTATCGGGCAAGTGTTGAAAGGTAGCCTAGCATCGCCTTAAAAAAATTATATGGGTACAGTTACTAAGGCTACTTAAGGCTAGGAGATGAGTAAAAGATGAATATTCATTATATTAATCAAAGGCGTTTGGAATGCAAAGGTTAGGAAACATCTCAGGCATCTTGACATCTATAAATGCAAATATTGGTTGATCATTGCAGACAAAGTAGTACAGTATATCATCAGTTCTTATTTAGGCATGAGAGGAAAGCAGGTTAGGTAGGCTTTATGCAGATTCAAGGCTGTATGAAGAGTTTTGAAATTTTTAGGGTAGGCCTACCTACTTTCCTGTTAAGTTAAAGGGAACATTCATTATTATCGATAATTTCTTTTCAATATACGGTATCGATGTTTTATTTTTTTATTCGATATATTGATATTAACAAATTTAAACTTATCAGCTGACAACTATGATAAATAAATATTGTTCAGTATCAACAAAGAATAAAAAAATATTGCTATATTGAAATGAAACTGTTCTAAGCTAACCAAACTTGCTGTAACATTTCAAAATCCCGTTTGAATGCCTATTGCCCCATTTGCCTTTTCTGTTATCAAACAGGATTCTACGGTAACTTAGACTACAGCAAGTTTGGTTAGTTATGTTAGGTTAGTTTAGAATAGTTTCATTTCTTAATCCAATATATACCGTAGGCTATTATTTTTGGCGAAATAAGATTAGTTCTTAATCCTATTCTCTAATACGATCTATAATTCAATAACTCGGTTATTTAACCAAGTATAGCTTAGACATATTTGCTATGTCTGTAATTTAAATGTGTTTGAAGATATTAAAACAGATGGAATGGAATATGGATCGTATAGGAAAACAAAAATATCGATATAGGCCTATCGAAAAGAAATCATAAATAATAATGAATGTTCCCCTTAACAGGAAAGTACAATTTTTAGCTTAACTAATATTAAAATTAGGGAGGCAACGTTTTGGGTATAATGAAGTTGTTTTTTTTGTTTTTTTTTACACCTTAGACCTAGACTACCAACTTTTGTTTTAGAAAAAATTGAAATGAACACAATGAATATTGATTTTAAAATTGCTTGCACTAGCCTATAGCACTGAGAAATAAGTTAATAGTTAAATAATATCCAAAAATTGGCGTGAGGAGACAGGTACATTTATAACACATCTTGAAGGGTTAATAAAATGGCTCCTAATAATTAAGCTAAACATAATTTAATACACTTGAAAAGAGCCGTCGCGTGGTTTATTGGTGCCTGGCGCGGGATGTTGTCAGGGCCCCCCCCCAAAAAAAACATAAATTTATACAAAGTTGCGTCCCGCTATCTGCGTTTTAATTCCCAATCCCAACAACAGACCTAAAGGATATAGGTACCGCCTTACAAAATTGCTAGAGTCAGGAATCAGGGATTAAAACACTTACATTTTTTATGAAAATCTGTTTTAATTGTTGATAATTAAATCCATACCAATTAATGTAAAAAAATATTAAAACCTATCAAAAGTAGGCCTACTATATATGTTATTAATTAATACGGTGCAAATTGAATGTACAGTGATTCAATATTCACGTAAATAACTTGTAATAACTCATCAAACTAAGCTGAGAGCTGAAAAGCTGAGCTGAGACTGCCATAAGAGAAAGGAGTATTGGGGTAAGGGTTGGTGGTGGGTGGGGGAGTGGCGACAAGTCAACATGTGCATATTTGAAGTCATTGTCTATACCATGAATCATCGTCAGAGTCCCAAGTTCGGTCGGTCGGGTGAATTAAAACATTGCAATAGGCCTATTGATTTATATTAAGACTAGCTGTAACCCGCGGGCTTTGCCCCGTTTAACTTCTTAATTTTCAAGATGATCTCGTTCGCATGTATATTTAATTTGGGAATACGTTGCAAATATATAACGTGATTGGGCTGGTGTTGAATAATATGTATTTGTTCAATAAATACATACGGTACAACGTAATATTCAAAATTCAGTTACCTATACATAACTTTCCAAAATACGATATGTATATCTAACCTATTTTCTTTTTTTCAATTTTGTTGTATTACTTTTGCTTGAGGTCCTAAGTTCGCCTCATAAAGAAGGATTTTCATTTCCAATTGCAAAAATTGTCATTGCTATTTATTTCCCCAAACATCATTGAGATTCCCATTACTGTACATAGAAAGAGCTTTTTAAACTTTTGTTTTGTGAAACCTTAATTTACTCTGAGCAAAAAGAAAGATGCAATGGGTTTTGGCTTAAGTTTCCAGATTGCAAGATAAGTGACATCTCATACTAAGACCTCACCTGCATTTAACTGGCATCGGCTTTCATAGAATTTTAATACCTATTGCTGATTAATATGTCAGATAGGTCAAGATAGGTGGTTGTTTTAGAAGTGTGAGTGATTTGAACATAGGCCTATTTGTTTACTGTAAAAGCTATTTGCATGTTTTACTATATCGATGATTTACTGTCATTAACAATGTGTGTAACTGTTTCAGGAATCTTCAGGCTGCCGTTTGCTCATATTTCGATTTTGAATCCCCATTCAAGCTTCCATCCATGATGTTAGTGAGAGATGAGTTAACTGATACAAATAGTACTGTTCCTCCAAACACAGTGTAAGCTATATTATTTGAAAATTTACAAATTCAGTTGTTAGTAAGCGTTTCATCTATTTCAGTAGCCATTTAAAATTACTATATGTCCACTCTTAGGCCAATTATTGTAGTATTCAATGTGTAACGGTACTGGGCCTAAAAGTACACATGCTCTGTTTGAGTTTAAGTATTTTAACTGAACACAAAATTATGATGGACATGGTTATAAAAAGCAGGGCTAAGTAGAGGAGATAGCAAAAGCTAAGTTTAAAGAAATTGGGTCAATTCAGTGGGCGTTGCTAGCAATTTGTTTTTTAATTATTGTATTAATTTACTTTCAAGTGTGAGCATGAAACCTTATGGACAGTTAGGCAAACTATCTACCAAAGCATTAGATGTGTAATAATTTAATTGTACTAGCCTTAAACTTAATGATGGCTGTGAATTTTTTCAAAGTAGGCCTATCACATAACTATACCCGACTGACTGTGTAGTATTAGTTTTCAGAAGGTGTGGAAAGTGCAGAACAATGGGGACGAGCCATGGCCCAGTGGGTGTTGTCTGCAATTTGCAGGGGGAACGTTGCTCCAGTGTCCTGAGCGGGTGCCCGTGCCCCCGCTGACCCCCACCTCAGCCACCCAGCTGTGCCTCACCATGACTAGCCCCGCTCAGACTGGCATCTTCCAGAGCAAGTGGCGCATGATAACACCAACTGGCTCCTACTTTGGAGGTTAGTTAGCGTTCTACACTAGAAGGTGCTTAACTTTAATTTCCTTGGATTAAAATCTTCTTTATCCCTTCTTGGATGGGTGACAGATTATAAAATTTGTATTCTGTAGACAAACTAGTTGGTGTTTGTAAAGTAACCATCCTGTTCACGCTACTTTCCCGACCTGTGCAGAAACACTGTTAGCTTTAATACTGTCCTTCTTAAAAAACACATACATTTTCTATGTGAACGTCTCTCTAAATTACTTAAGAACCCGGGAAGCGTTTGCGAGTCGGACCTTCTCAAACAACCAACTTAGATATAGCATGTATTTAAAGGAGTTTGCTGCCGTACTTTTCGGTTTAGAAAAATTTAAAGATTATTTGGCAGACAGACCATTTGTCATTAAAACTGACTGCATGGCTATTACGTATGTGATGGGTTGCGATAAAAGTGTCGGAATGTTAGCTAGATGGAAACTACGACTCTCACAATTTCCTTTTGCCAAGATCGAACATTGTAGGGGCACCCAAAACATTGTGAGTGATACTCTGAGTCGAATGTTCGAACCTGAGGAAGCTATAAAACAAAACATCAGATACTACGTGCTAAAGTAGAACGTTCTTACGTACTAAAGTAAGAACTCTTGTTTAGTGCGTGAGCAAAAAAAGGCTCACGCACTAAACAAGAAAACTACCGCCCTATCTCATTAATATCAACCTTTTCAAAAGTAATAGAAAAGGTCGCTCTGTCAAGAATGCTGAGTCACTTGGAAAGCAATGATCTCATCACTAAAAACCAACATGGTTTTCTCAAAGGGAGGTCCACCACCACAGCTCTAACTAGTTTAATCGAACAAATCATTGACCATCTAGAAGCACGCAGATATGTATCAACAGTCTTACTTGACTACAGCAAAGCTTTTGACTGCCTGGGCCATAATCTCATCCTAAGGAAACTCACAGCCCTAGGAATAGAGGGAATGGCCAAAGACTGGGTGGCAAGCTATTTGAAAAGACGTACACAAATTGTTGAAATCCAGCAAAACACAAATGGGAGAAAATCTGTACATAGGTCCACACAACTTTCGATTAACAGGGGAGTGCCCCAGGGCTCAGTCATGGGCCCATTTTTGTTCATCCTTTTTACCAATGATTTTCCAGATTTTATTAGGAATGACAATTGTGAAACAATAATGTACGCTGATGACACAACTCTTCTATTTATGCACGACTTACCACAAGAATTACACTCCAACATCTTATCCTCAACAGACAAAGCACTGCAGTACTGCCTTCAAAATGACCTGGCCATTAATCCATCAAAAACAACCCAGTTAAATTTCAGCCGAAAACATGAACAAATCCAAGAAATTCCTGAAATAACCGTTGAAAAAAACTCAAAACTGCTGGGCCTGACAATTGATGAAGACCTCTCCTGGAAAGACCACATACACAACCTGACCAAAAAACTTGCATCTGGTGTCCATGTAATAAAGAGGATGAAATGGATAGGAGGTCTGGAAACAGCTAAGACAGCTTACTATGCTGTAATAGAATCGCATATAAGGTATTGCTTAATATCTTGGGGAGGAACATCAGAAGCAAACCTCAACAAAGTGTTGGTACTCCAGAAAAAAGCTGTCAGGGCACTCTCCGGCCTTGAGCGCTTAGACAGCTGCAGGGAAGCATTTAAATCCCTTAAGCTCCTAACAGTGACAGCACTCTACATCCATGGAGTTGTCATGTACACAAAAAAACTTAACCTTCCCAGAAATGAGAATTTTCACTCCTACCACACCAGAAAAGCAGCCGACTACAACCTTCCGATCCACCACACTACACAATTCAGCAGAAAACCCTCTTATATTGGCCGAAAAATCATCAACTCTCTTCCAAACAACCTCAAGAACGCAACAGGAAACCAATTCAAACAGCAACTCTGGAACTGGCTTGTGGACCGACCGGTGTACTCCCTTAAGGAATTTTTTGACCAATTATGAACTTTCAACACAAAAGAAAATGTAAACTGTTAAAACAATCTAAATGTTAAACATTCTGAATTTCTCTGACGCCATTGTATTTCTTAAAGAAATCACAAATAAAGAAAATTGTCTATTGTCTATTGTCTATTGTCTAAATCATAAGCTTAAGTAATGTCCTTCTTAAAACATAAATTTTTCTATATAAACATAACTTATTTCTAAAACATAAATTTGGTTAAAATTGGCCATAGGCTATAATGTGTGTTTTGTAATAAAATACGGTATTGTCTGAAAAATAACATTACCATTTTTATTTTTAAGAGTTAGGCCTAAATTTGTAAAGAGGGCTTGAGGAAACTGAATACCTATCTGCCATTTTTCTAGTTATTCACGGATATATCCGGGGTATTTTTTATAAGAATATGTGGTATAAAATAGGTTATAAAAATATTCATGCACTAAGAATTTATTTAATAGGCCTACCTCTATTTGAAAGAAAAATATTTAAGAAAATTTTTCAAAAATGCCAAAAGTAAAACTCATAAAAAATTTACCAGTCCCAATCAATTTTTGCCTGTCTGGGGAGTTTTAGTAGGTATTCTTATTTCAATCTCTTGAACCTTATCAGTTTAAATAATGTGTAGTTAATTCAAAGAATATTTTTCAAAACATAATTTCTTAAATTCAATAAATAATTTGTCAATACATCATTCAAAGAATATTTTGGATACTTATTTAACATTTATTGGAACAATAATATTTGGAAACTAGAGTTGACCAAATCAATGTGGCAACGCTGGGCAGTATTGAATAAGGCTTTAAAATGTACGTACAGTACCTTGTCAAGGTCATTGAATTCTTTCCTACTCCTTCATTCCCCTTATGTTAATGATACTATTTTGTCATTAGTCAGTCGCCTCCAGGCCCGCTCTCTACCTTCCAACCCTGGTTTTATACAGTAACATACTGTCAATCAGTTTATTAGATTTTAACACATTGGATGAGTGCTTAAAATAGTTTGTTTCAGTTTTGAGTTTTTATGCTGTACATTATTTATGCTAGTAAAAATAAAGTATTGATGTGCTCATGAAACCTACCAAGAATCAAAGCAATCAGCTTATGTGAATGAGTTACAAAGGTATAAGTAAGCCTTTTATGTACAGCGGCTGCAAAAATTAACGCAATTCGTAAACACAGCGGCCTACATTAAGTCCTATGAGTTTAACTATTTGGACCCCACAACATTCAAAACTCAATATTTTTTGTATTTATGTAATAAAAAAATAATCTATCGTAAGTTAAATTAAATTACAATTACTTACGAGTACTTTAATCAATATGATAATAATATGAAATGAAATAGTTTTAAATTTTGAATCCAGTAACGGCTGTTTTGCGAAAGTCGCTTTCATAATGTGCATTGCGGACGGCGGCCACCTCCGTCCCAAACTCAATGCATGTAGTCTTATGGTAGAAACACCTAACTGCGCTGAGGGTGCCATGACGTCATTCCAATGCTTTACAATAGGGACTCTGGGGCAGAGTCCAAAGCTGCGCGCGCATTCATAAATCAGGGTAGCCACCCTAAACTGGATAATTCTGCATCACACACGATTAGGATAGGAAGAACCATGTTGGCAGCGCTGGAGCCATCATCCACACTGTCACTACCATAAACATAAACTAACCTCACTTCTTTCCATGTCCATGACCACAGTTCAGTTAAAGTTTAGTGCCAAACGACCTGTTGTTTTGTGATAAATAGTGTTTAGTGATAGTGATAGTGATGGAGGCCTAAGGAAGGCAGTGGTAGTTTGTTAAAGATTGAAAGAGCTAAGTAGAAATTATTAATAGTTATACTTAATTGATTGAGTTAGTTAGTTGGCATTTTTGAGTCAATAAGTTACGTCTGTAGTTTTAGTATAGGCTAACCTAATTAACCCGAAAACTAAGTAAACTAACCATAGGTAAAGTTACTCGGACAATTATAGTTATAGTTACTTATTCTTAGTCTTAATATTACGGGTAAATTTGCCGTGGGTTGTAGGCCTAAATAATAATGGACGGCGGCATTTCGTTGTCGTCGACGGCTAACGTCACTAACAAAGTTAGCCTGATTATCAATGAAGGGATCAAAAATATTGACCGCAGAATTTCTTTGAAAAAATTAGTCTTACCCTCATGGTTTGGTTTTCTATTCGTTATTGCCGTGGATGTTTATTTAAACATTCAATTATTGACAGGCCTTACCGTTTGGTTATCTACTCCTTATTGCCGTGGATTTTTTACTATTAAATTATTAATTGTTAGTTATATTTTCAATACAGTGTAGACCCGTTTTATAAGGCCGTAGGCAGGGGAGGGGGTTAGAGGGTCAAACCCCTCCCCCAAAATTCCGAAATTGAGCAGTAAAAATTAAAACTACGTTTAAAAAGTGCAAGTTAAATTATAAAATAGAAATCACAATAGAGGATTAATTGTTATGTTTTGAGTTTAGTTATGAATTAATCTATTCATATTTAATATAGGCCTAGTTCTATTAGGATACTAAATCTGATCTAGGCCTATTAAATAAATTGGTAAAAACTATTTAAAAAATATACTACTCTACTCTACTTATGTCTACTTGCTCATGACAAACAGCAGGTGAAATGGGAGTTTTTGGACTATTATTGGACACAGTTTTAGGCGTTAAAAATTGCTTTAGAAAGTCACCAAACGGCTTTAAAAATGTAAAATTTTTCCGGACCCCCCTCTTCGAAACCCCCCGGAGACCCCCCCTTGACAAGGTCCTAGAGCCGCCACTGGGAGGAGGCCGACGACCTTTAACTGGTAGACAAGAACAAAATACAAGTGTGTTCTCCAACAGCCGCCTGAAGATTTCACATCAATTTAGGACTGTTGGATAATCGCTGCAAAAGCTGTTGATTTTGGAAGATAAGGAGGCTGGTAGGACTACATCGGAAACAGAAGAAAGGAGATGAGTGGCAAATGCATTGGGAGCAGAGTGATTTATGTTAACGTTTTAAAGGTAAATGTTCAGATATATACCTAACATCAGAAAGAGACTGGAACAAAATTGGGAGATGGGCCATTATGAAACGCAGTTTGTCACAGGACAAGGACAATTTCAAGGTGAATTTGTGAAGATTTCACATGGTGGATGAGGAAGAATGTAGATGTGGAGAATTACAAACCAAGTGTCACGTATTTATAAATTGTTCACTTTAGGAGACAAATAGGAGAGAACAGGAAGAAGTCTTGGATAAGATAGGTGTATAGATGAGAAAATAAAACATGATGAGTGACAAGGAAACAACAGAGACGTTTAGCTAGGGACGTAGCTAGGGAAATAGGAAAACCCAGGGATACATACAGGCATTAAAAAAAAAAAAAAAACTAAGGCTAGGATTATACTAGGACGCTGGCGTCCGGGAGGCCGGCGTCTGGGACGCTAGCGGGGCATTAAATCAAATGGGGGCGATTATACTAGGGATGCCAGCGTCGGATGCTAAAAAAGCCACCGGACGCTCGATTTTGTGCCTTCTTGGGAACGGGGGGTTTTATGGGGTAAAAAGGGGTATTGTCATATTTCTCTCTAGGCAATTTTAATTAGCTTAAAAGCATATAATTAAGTATATTAAAGTGTTTTTCTATGGTTATTAGTTACGGATAAAATTCAAATAAGTGTAAATTAAAAATTCCCATGTTATTCTTATAGAAAATTTTTTTAACTGTTGGAATTTGCTTGTGTATGGATATATTTTGGTCAAAGTTGGCCAATTTGTTTCATACTAAGCTATTAATATTTTACTAAAAACACACAATATTAGCCTCCTTAAAGCAGCAAATCTGGGTACTCGTAAACCTAATGTTATTTAAATAGATATAAACAAATAGTGACAAAACATTGAAATAAAATGGCAGTCCGAGAGGCTAGCATCCCAACACAAAACACGTCATTATAGGCTCGACTTGGGACGCTAGCCTCTCGGACGCCAGCGTCCTAGTATAATCCTAGCCTAAGAAAGAAAAGGAATGAAAACTTGCCCATGAAGGGGAGAGGAAAGGTTAGAGCGAATCTCAATGATCCCTATCGCTCAGGGCGATATGGGGTAGGGAGTCGTGCTGTTAGGCTTTTGGACACATAATGTGTCTGGAAACCTAATGCGGCTATGAGTAAGGCTATTTGTAGAAAACACTATTTACAATAAATGTTGATTATATCGATCTGTTATGTACTTCAAGAGTAATACTTAGCAATTCCTCGAATTCGAGCAACAGGTACACTAGTTTAATTTATTTGCCTTTTCAACCTATAAATTACTGAAAATTGTATTTTACGAGGTGGCGTTACCACTGGCACTGCATTTTCTTTAAGAGTAATTTTCACAGGCTGTGTAATACACCCGATTTTGATTCATCAAACAGATCAGAAAACTCTGCAAACTTTTTAGAAAGCTTAGGTAGGCCCTACCTTAAATTTAACTTGAGAATTCTAATATGTTACTTTTAAACTACAGTTTTAAGTTTTAGTTTACAGATTTTTAACTCTTATAACAAGATTATAACAAACAGTAGCCATCGAAGAAAATAATCTCACCAACTAATTTGTTTGTTGTGGTCGCGTAATTCTGTTTTACAGTAGACTCCCTCTTATCCGGACACCTTTTAACCGGACATCCATTTTACCGGACTACACTTGGTGGAAATGACATCTCTTTAACTGGAAAATCTTTATCAGCACATTGGTTTAACCGGACTAGATCGGTAGGAAGTGGGCGGTACTGAAACGACTGTTCTCTTAGGACAGATTTTTGAGACCAGTGATCACGTGTCTAAATACAATGCTCTCCTAAATTTAAGTCGATTATCACAGTAAACGGTTTTTTTTAACGAGTTTTTAGGGACGTCGGTTTAACCGGAAAAACCGTTTTCCAGACTAGCCTAGGTCCCGAGAAGTCCGGATAACAAGGAGTCTACTGTACTTTGTGGAGCATATTCAGCAATACACTATATAGAGATAATCCCAATGGATGTGCCGCTCGTACAATTTTCAGCTACGGTGAGCCCTACCTGTTATATGATTGGTTAAAGATTTGGACGTTTTTATTTACAAACAGTTACCTAACCTTTTGGCACTGTTTGCAGACATCATCTGGGCGATTGTGACAGTGGTGGATGAGGAGAGCACCAATCAGCTGACAGACCAGCTGATGCATTTAAATGCACTGGGAGCGCCACCCCCTCGAGACCCTGCTCTCAGTCATCCCTTCTCTCCTTCTCATCTTAACTTTCAGGTGGGTGAATATAAAACAAATACATACTATATACCTATATTAAACAAAAATTGTTTGACCAGCGTTAATTAAATGTTTCACGTTGTGTATATTCCGTGTTCTGTGTCATGTTATTCGTATACTATTAAAATTTTGACAAACTCTCATCATGAGGAATACTTAATGACATTCTTCTGACCTGATGAAGTCTTAGGAATCTACAATGGATTGTTTCGGACAGTAACAAGGTAATATAAACCACTATTTGATAATCTCTTTACGACGGGGGAGATTACCCGCTTTTGGTCGTGATTGCAGAGGACAATGATGATATTTCTATTACCGTGGAAATATTCAGGATTTTGTCGCAATCGTGGATGACGATTATGATGTCTCGGCCACTGCAGTAAATGATCACGATATTACCATGATCACCATTTATAGTTATGTCAAATTAATATTTTTGTAGTAAATTTAATATTGCTTTTTACTGGTCACTATGTCAAGTTTGTTAACTTGTGCATTTGTTCAGTTTAGTTATTTATCTTTGGAATATGAATTCAGAATAAGGAGGATACAGCTAGCTTACCTTGAAGAAGTGCAGGTAGGCCATAGAACATGACAGAGCCATGATACCATTACAGCAGCCATTTTGTAAACCCTATCACTTTCTCTACACCTGACAAAGTTCCCCAAAGGAAGAAATATTATGTATTAAGTGTCTCTTTTGCATGTTCTATGGGCTACCTGCACTTCATGATAAGGCCGGCCGCACACCTAAACAGCACGGCACGGCGAAACGTATTTGTCTCGCCTTGCCATGCCTGATAGGGACGAGCTGTATACAGCAAGGCACGGCAAGAGGTAACACAACAGAGAAGTACCCACTGCTTTTGACAGTGGTGTCAATCCTCGCGCATGGGCACATCGTTTTGCCTCAAGCCTTTTGCCCGAAAGACGAAAATTGACAAGGCAGTACAAAGCGTCGTGCGGCGCTGCTTTGCCTTGCCTTGCCGTTCTCCATTTGAAATAATAGAAACCTGGTCGCATAAGGCACCTTAAGGCAAAACGTCGTGCCGTGCTGCATCTGGTGTGCGCCCGGCCTAAGCTAGCTGCTACCCCCCTTGTTCTACAATTCAAAATCCTAACCCATGAACAAAACTAACCTTAATTATTATAGTTGAAATAGTTCAATTCATCATTTGAATATTTATTTAAATATTCCTAGTTTATAACAGCACAAGTTTTAAAAACATTGCCTTTAGAAGAAAATCAAGTGAGGTGCCGTATATTTTATCCTCAGTTCAATGTTTTATCCAATTATGTAGGCAACTAAAATAATTATATTCAACCCTACATCATAACGTTAATTCAAAATTTGACATGATTATTTTATTTAAATTTATTTGACTATTTTAATTACTTAAAAAATGAACCTAAAATTCATCTGAAATTCATTCTCGCTATGAAAAAAGACGACTAAAGGAGTAAATTTACCATAGCATGTTATGTATTTTCATGTAAATCCAAATTTGTCTGAAAAACATTTTTTCTGTTATTTTGTTATTTCATTTTTGAAAGATATTTGATTTGATTGGACTTGTTGCAGGATTCTGTTCCGAAGATTCAAGACAATGATAACACCATGTGTTGATCTCGTACTTGTTTGTACAGTTATCTTCTATTTTATATTATGTACATGAAATAATAATTCATCTGTTGTAATTACTTATAAAACTGTTGTAAAAATTTATCTTATCCGCCTATACTCTGTGTTCAGTTTAAGTTCCTGTAATGACCAAATCCTATCAATAATTTATTATTGAACTGCAGTCTAAATCTTTAGTCTATTTTCAGTCAAAAGTTATTGGTGAAATATTTTACATTGGAAGTTATTATTCACTCATTTGATGTGGGTTTACATGCTGTTGTGTTTTATTGCACTGATGTTGGCCGTTTTTTACTCTTATTTGTACTATTGTAGGTCAACTTAACTATCACTGTCTATGGCATTGGAGACTAGTTTAAATTCAATTAAGATCTTGTCTACAAGCTTGCAAAGTTAACAATTCCCACACATTTCGCTTATTTACACTCACATGACATAATTTACTGTAAAATACAAAGGGAAGAGCTTAGCTTACAATGGTCAACAGTCTTCTAAAACTGTTTATATTAAATTTCCTATTCAAGTTTTAAGTAGTGTTCAGAAAGCCTACTTGACAGATAATTTATGTGATAATCCTACTTTAGATGATGGTCAGCAAGAAATTTAACGATCTTAACATCAAGTAAATTATTATATTGATATTAACTGCTTTAAGGGTATATAATGTGCCGATTGTAAACAAAGTTATAAATACATGCATATGTTAAGCCCTTAAATTGTATTTACCTATTAGTTTTAGGGTGTTACTCAAGGGAGGTATAAACAATGACATCATTTGTGCCATTTGGAGGCTTCTGATTAGCTGAGGGAACACCATTACCACAACGGTACGGTGTGAAGCCATCGGTCTCGGTGGTCCAATGGATAGCGTGCAAGGCTGAGGCTCAGGTTCGAAACCCGCCGGTAGTTCTAACCTTTTGTCTAAGATTTGTTCATTATCAGCAAGTTTGGTTAGTTTGATTAGGTTATGACGTTTTAATTTTATAATTAATACATTATCAAATTGAATTTGAGCCATTTCTAGTTTTATTTTATGAACAGAACTATTTTTTGATTAAACCTCCATTAGTTTTTATTCATTATCAGCAAGTTTGGTTAGGTTATGACAGTTTAATTTTATAATTAAAAATTATAAAATTGAATTTGAGGCATTATAATTTTATTTTAAGAACAGAACTATTTTTTTCGATTAGTAAACCTTCGTTATAGCCAAATTAGTATTGTGAATAATTACCTACCAGGTGCAGGTATTTACACAATTTTAAGTTTTTATCAGTGACCTGTAATAACATGGTATTTTTTTGCATTCTTGAGGGAAGAAACGTTTGACCTAGTTTTGACCAGTTTCATGCCTATGAAATATATAATATAATTTATTTTTATTTGTTAATGTTAAGTCTTGTGGAACTTTGGAACCCATACTTTTAAGGGCAGTACAATTGCATGCAGTGGATTGAATCCGTCATGCACCGAATAGTTCTGTGCTATTCCTTTCTTTTGTTATCCGAAGGTTTTATTTATGAAAAGACACATATTGTTTTAGTCCCGTCCCGTTGACCATTTGGTGTTGAATCTGTCATTAAATTATACAATACAGACTACTGGACGGATGGAGAGTTCTGGATTCTGTTGCACAACTTGCCTAACTGGTTTCACAACAGAGATGTTTTCTGAGACATACTGCAATGCAGTTGATCTTGAACCTATAAACTAGTTACACTGTCTCTGTGCTCAGAAACCAAAGAAGATTAGACTAGAGAACATTGGAAATAGTTATTGCATGTTTAACAAATAATAGCTACATTCTGTTGATAAAAACTTTCAATCTCACAGATTTTTAAAAATTAAGACTTTGTCACACAGTGGCAGCTGATAACAAGACACTCGAGGGGACTATTAAAAAGATTTGCTATCAAGGTTGGCTTAATATTGAGGTTTGATTAGGGGTAAAATAAATTCTAGGGGATTTGGAAATGACTCTTGTTATAACGGTGACTTCATCTTGCAGAATAATAGGAACACTTTTCTCCATTTGTCACTGATTAGAATTTTCTTATATAGGCTAAGTGTTAAAATACTAAAAATAAGGAAGCTAGAAAAAATAACTAATCCTTTTGAATAATTCCCCACATGGACGTTTAAGTTTTATAATTCTCTTATGGATATAAATAAATATCTTAACCAATAGTAAATTCCAACATATTTTTCTTTTGCGTTGATTCAATATTTGTTTCTATAAAATTTTAAATTAAATCAAGGGACCTTTTCTATTGGTTCACTAACACTAGTGGAATGTGGTTAGGTTAGGGTTTTCTAACTCTATACTAACCTAACCAAAGTTAAATTCACTACCACATTTCTATTGCTAATAATCTATTGCTCTAAAAACTAGTGTTAGTGAATTAACGGAAAAGATCCAAATCAATAAATCGTTTTTGTTTATTATCAAGAAATTATTAGTTAAGAACAGTTTTCAGAATACATATACAGTAATAATGAGATAAATATAAATTGCATACCCTACTTGTTAGACAGTAAAAGGTATGCAAATAATTACAGTTAACAAAACGCAAGAGGTGACACTTGAAATAAAACTCCAGGATATCAAGGTGCAAGTGTTGATACAAGGCAGCGGCATCCTGTTACCTGACCCTTAATATTCTGACTGGATGTAAACAGTGGGGGTGGATTTTTAAGAAGGAAATGAAGTGAAGCCCACACTAACCCTAGAAAGATAAGTATGAGGGTAATGTGACTAACACTGCTGACCAGCAAAAACACAAATTTGTTAACTGAACTACAAGCTCGCAGAAGAAAGTTCCGTGAAGTCACCTCTCAAGGGCTATGGAAGAACAACTGAGGTGGGTTTTAACACGTTCGCTGCGGGTGGGTCAGTACTGACCCACGGCGATCGAATCGCTCATGCTGCCGGGTCAGTACTAACCCACACTGCAGTGAATCAATATGTTGCTCAGTGCTAGCCTAGCGTCAGTCGAAGGTGGACCTACACCACGTTAGCGTGTAGTGTGTGACTAGCTTTGTTCACAGTTGAGTTGGTTCCCGCGGCCCGCTCCCGCCGTGGCGGCTGGGTCGGTACTGACCCACATTACTGTGAACGCCCCTCGCTTTGCTAATTTTTTGTGCTTTATGACGTCATATTCAATTTCAATTATTTTTTAAACTATTTTATTTCAATAATATTAACATTTCATATCTTTTATATCTGTAATTTTTGTTTAATATTTAAATTTTTTATACTCCGGTTCTTGATGGGTCAGCACTGACCCATGTATATGACGTCACATTATGAAGTCATAATAAATTCCAATCAATTGATATACTATTTTATGTTGGTTATTTTATCATAATGACTACATATATATTTAGAACATATATTTTTAGTAACATATATAATGTATTCAGTGACATTTCCATTTTTTTCTGACTCTGGCTCCTGATGGGTCAGTACTGACCCATTATTATGACGTCACTTTTTGACGTCATATTCACTTCCGATCGTATTATATAATATTGTATTTCAATAAGGACACAAAAAGGAATGATATACAACAATAAAGTTTTTTAGCAATACGATTCGATTTTATAATTTCCTTTAGCAGTGAACGTGTTAATGAAAAGATATTGCAATTTAAATTATTTAATGTAAAAAATATCAGCACAGACATAATAAAATTTAAGGCATAGGTATATACACAGGCTTAATGAATCTTAACAATATTTGTTTGGCATCTTAAGTAATAAGGAAAAAAATTATGATAACCGAGTCCAGTCAAAACAATGTTTTAATTTCGTTTGGGTTGAAGCATAGTAGGTTTGTACAAGTTAGGCTTTATTTATTTTGGAACCCAATAGTTTTACATACAGAATAAACCTCAGTAAACAATGACCAGGACAGCTAGTACTATGGGCAAATCTAGACAGTTAGCCTAGTGCTCTTCTATGGGCAGGGCCGCGTTAAGGGTCAGTGGAGCCCTGGGCAAACACAAAAGCAGCGCCCCCTTTTTTCCTAGTGTGGGCAGGCAGTGGTTGGGGGACACCCGGTGAGCGCCCCCAAACCTCTGGCGCCCCTGGGCATATGCCCAGTCTGCCCGTTTATAAAAGTGGGCCTGTCTATGGGAACCAACTGTTTAAAAAAATTATGCAGAAATAACCTTAGGCCCTATATCTAACTCATAGAAAATTTTACACTCATAAAACCCAAACAGAGGTATGAGATAAGTTTAGCTCTCAATTTCAAGAAATTTATGTACAAAAAATTAAAATCCTCTTGGATTGAGGTTTCCTTACTCTCCTATCCATGTATTTTCTACATTCTACTCCTTCAGCATTTTTGTTTGAAAATAAAAAAAAATCTCTACAGGTGATTTTTAATCATGACGTTGGCTTAGTATAAAAAAATATAGCCTACCCTTAAGTTTTTTAACATAACGGTTAACCTGTTCAAAGGAATTAGGCTAAATTTTTATAAAGCTTAAGGTGTTCAAGATATAGGTTAATTTTAAACGTTATCAGCTACCCTAAATAGGTAAATAACAAAAGATCTTTATCCTCTATAAACAGTTATTTTCCATAATTAAAGCCTCATCATAGTAGTGGAAGCTGGGGTAATACGAGAAAAAAATGTAGCATACCTAATTTATAAAAAATAGTTTTTAGTAGTTTGAAAGTTGGACAATTAAATAAAGTTGTAATTTTGTACTTCAATGTTTACTCATCACTATTATAAGGTAACAAAAAGGCTTAGGTCTGATTTAGTAGTTTGAATTTATAAGTAAGCCTATCAAACATATATATTTTTTATCGGCAAAGAGTTGTTTCAAAAATTAATTCTAAAGTTGTTTTTCCTAAAACGGAGATTATAAAGAAGATATGAAAAAAAGTTATTAGCCATGTTAATTTATTTTAAAATAATTATTAAAAATTCTCTCATTACCCCACAGTTTTCTGAATATGTATGTATAAGGTTTCTCTTGATACCCCACCAACTTCAGAATACTTTCAAATAAGAAAATTACACTCTTATTCAGGTAGTCAGGGAGGTAATAAGATAATAATTTTTCACTAATTTCAAAAGTCATAGAGATTTCAAATTAGTTTTTAGGTTTACCATTTGGACCACTTATTGTATGATTTTTTCATTCCTACTCCTATTAGATTTAGAGATATAAATTAGTGGTTCTCTTATTACCCTTTTTGTCTACTTATTGCCCCAGCTTCCCCTACGACTGACTTTTTACAAGATCATTCCACAACAGGCAGACTACCTGACCAGAGGGTAGAGAAGAACAATGGCTAGGCCGGTCCTTCGACGGACCCTCTCGGCTCTCGGAGTAAATCCCATTAACCACGCTTCAACGAATACTTCACATAACAGCGTGAATATATTGATTAATTGAAAATATAATCAATTCGTCATATCTGAAAATAATGTATTCTAGGTTATAAAAAAACAAAATTTTGCATGTTCGTACCATGCTAATCGGCCGACTTTAAGTATTAAAACAAACTTTTACTCTTATAACTACAGTAGAACTCCGATTATCCGAATCAATTGGGACCAGACCCCATTCGGATAATCAAAAATTCAGATAATCGGAGTTTTACAGGAATTCCGGGAATTTCCAAGAAAAATCCTCATTTCCGGTACTAAATGAATTTTTAATTAATAATAAATGAAATCAGAACATTTTTACAGTATACAATACTCTTAGCACAAGTGTTCTACACTTGTTGTTAATAACAATTCTTTGATATTTTCCAAACCTTATTATTACTGTAGCTTTACATTATTAAAATTGTTGAAATAAGCGATTCGGATAATCGGCGATTCGGTTAATTGGAGTTCGGATAGTTGGAGTTCTACTGTAAGTACAATATTTAATTTTAAATTACTAACAATTGATATTCTGTATTATACTTCGTTCATAATATTTAGGTGATTTTAGGGGAAGAAATCTATCACCTCCACTTGACCCTTACCTTTAAAGATAAGCATTCGAAACGCCGTTAATGAGTGGAAACCTCTATTGTTATCAAAACTGGAGTAGGATGCAACTTGATACACACTGATTCTCCGGTTCCCGACATAGATGGTGGCTAGATTTTTTTTTATTTAATTAACAATTACATATTGCCCTTGCGATTAATCAAACCCGTTATTTAAGCCACACGGTTATTAATCTCACTTCTTTAACGTATAAAATGTAAAAATTACAAAAATTATATATAATTTTGAACAATCTAAGACAAAGCTCTAATTTGATTTACATTGATATATGCACTATTAATACAGACTTATAAATTAATTTTGTACTACAAGAGACAAATTAGCAGTTTGTTTTAATACTTCAAGTCGGCCGATTTGCATGGGACGAACATGAAACATTTTGTTTTTTTATAACCTAGTATACATTATTTTCAGATATGATGAATTTATTATATTTTTAATTAATCAATATATTTACGCTTTTAAGTGAAGTATTCAGTGAAGCGTAGTTAATGGGATTTACTCCAAGGGTCGGGACGGTCCGTCGAAGGTTCGGTCTAGCCATTGTCCTGCTATACCCTCTGGTCAGGTAGTCTGCCTCAACTTAACATGAGACAGCCTTTAACCACATTCACCCCTAACCAATTTCTACCAGAAATTCAATACAATAAGTTTGTTACCTTGCTCCAAAACTGCCTTAGAACATACACTATTCGACGCAACGTAAGTGCCAGAATCCTCGGGAAATTCCAAAACTTTTCTGCAGGATTTGCCAATTTCCCATACCTCTTTAATGCTTTTATAATCAATTTCATGCAATAAAACAAATCTCCCAGCCAACACTTCAATATGATCAAGTCTAAAATCTGCTTTCATAAGGTTACAGGTTTCCAAATTTACAGTATTTACAATGTATATTTGTTGCTTGGTAGATATCAATAGGTTACTGCCTAGGGGCTTAACGGATGTCACATATTTTACATAATCAGGCAAAGATTTGCTTGGTTCAGTCATGGTTTCATTCTGGTGCATTGCATCATGATGATGTACTATCTTGATGGGTGTGTCATCAATGACACTCAGATGGCCATCAAAATACAACACACTTCCGTTGTGAACAAATCTACTAGGCAGAATAAACTGTAACAATGAAGTATCATAAATAATTGAGCTCCATCTTCCCACATTACCTCCTATGTTAGTGACATTTTTTAATTTGTAGGTTACAAGGACCTTATCAGTGACTTGTTTTGTAGATTTAAAAGTTATATATTGTATTTGTCCGACTTCGTATTTATCCTCTTTAACCTTTTTCCCCGTCTTGATGTCCCAAATGTGCAAGAGAGGAGATTCCCCATTTATATAGGCTCCAATCATGTATTGTCCACAAACAACACACTCACAATTAACCTCTGAAAAGTCACTACATGTTGAGACGAAGATACTATCAACATCGCTATCAGCTGTTAGACTACGAGAGAAATCTTCAGGTTTATCAAAAAAGAAGACATGATAAAGAACCCAGCTTTTGGAATCCAAGCAAATTTTGTAAACTTGAACAACATTACATTGGATCACAACTATCAGGTTGCCATTGACTATTTTATAAATGTTGGCTTCCCACAATTCACTCAAACAGTAAGGTATAGTCAATACTAGGACTGGGGTGTCAGCTAGATTCCAAACTTGAGTTTCATATGTTAGATGAAGGCATACATGGTCGTTGTCTAAAAATGATACATTAATATTGTAGCTGATGCTGTCATCACAGTCAAATTCAATTTCTTCCTTCTTGAAGCGCCCACATCTCCAATTTTTCAATAAGTGTTGTTCCTGCAAGAACCGAAGCCTATTTTCTTGAATGGGCAAAACTGTGTCGTTTTTTAGTTCGAAACCAGGTTCAACAAGGCACTTGGTTGTTGAAAAATAGTCATTTGAACTACCTATACAATGTCTTTTCCAAAATAAATCGTTACTAAAAATACTATACCAAGTTTGACTAACACCTATGCAATTGGTTAAATCGTTTGCCGAGAGGAACGTAATAAGCACCTCTAGAACTTCGAGGGGCAAATGATCAATGCCCAGTGCTTTTCCCATGGTACAGAATCTGTAATAGAAAACAAGGGTTGATTAAAAATAGAATACGTTTACTCACACAAAATGAGCACTCGGGTTGATCCCTGGAAAAGTCAATAAATGCTAAGAATTTATCTTGTACCTAGTTGCTATTAATCATAACTTTCAAATTAGGTAGGTACTTTAATACAATACTTTGAAATGATGACCATACGAATGTAGGTATTTTAAGCCAAGTATGAATGGAGATGATTGTTGATTTCTAACAGATCAAAGTTATTCATAAAAAAATGGCTAGGATCAGTTACGGAGTATATTTTTTGTCTTCCAAGTTGTAGGCCTACTAAGATTCATCATATTCCCGACAGTGGCTACTCTGCTATTTAAAAATAAACTATATATTGATAGGCGACCTGTTCTTTCTAAGATATTGGTGAGCATTTTTGCTCTGGAAAATTTACGACCACACTACTGATAAGCGACGAACTAAACTAAATGTCCTTAAGAAACTACCTCTGGAATGATAAAAGGACACATTTACATATGACTAATCCAAACTGCCATTATACCATCGGAACTATTCAACTGACCTGTAATCTTTGATTTTTTTAAACACTTAAAAAACCCTTTCCGACAAAAACTGATTGTAGTTTGGGTTTAGCTTAAAAAAACTTAAAATTTTAACCAGTAAAGAAAATGCAACATTTTCCAATTTATTATTTAGTTAGTATATTTATTTTTTATTAAGTTTTAGCTGAATTTGTTTTTGACATGTTTGAGTTTTGACTCTTATTGGTATTCCACCACCACCACTTTAATTAATGATGGATGGCCACTGGCTTGTAAAAATGAACTAATAAAAATTTATGCTACCTATTGTATGTTGAAATGATCCAGTGTAATTACTAATTAGCCTAACAGCAGCTGTTTTGTGCTGTATGAAATAATCAGATAAGAATGTCCAGCTGATGAGCCCTTATTTAAGGTGAAGTTAATCAGGAGATTTATAAAACACAAAAAACACATGACACTGTAACAACACAAAGCGAGACATTTATTAAAATTAGCTGGACATTTTACAAGATGATGTGCTCCATTCCATGCAAGGAACAGCTATAGTTAGTTATTACACCAAGAGGAATAATTTTGACAGTCAACAGATCTAGGGTATCCGGTAGGTAATTAAACCTTTATTATTGTTGTTCAAAGGTTTATTGCGGACATTTTCCATCACGAATGTAAAAAAAAAAAAAAAACACAACGTTTCGGGATCTGGAATCTGATCCCGTCTTCAGGTGAAAAAAACTTAACTACACATTACAACTAACAATACACAAACGCCCAACCTAAGTTGGAATACACTACCGAGGGTAGTAGTCAAAAAATATACACTGTATAGCAGTCAAATCATGATACAACATGCAATTAATAACAAATCACAAAACACTATAATCTATTAAAGGTTTAACGTAAAAAACTCACACAATGGAACACTAATAGCACCGTACGCAATGACTCCACCAATGAGACTGAAACAACATGGCTAAACAATCGGAAACACGGAGACAACAGAAATGGCTTCCGGCCCCTGGAAAAGTAAAACCAACAAAATGGCGGAGGGATGTACGATGCCGCAAGATGGGTGTTAATTCTGTTTATTCCTATCACGAGTTTTACTACGAGTTAACATAACATGCGAATTTTGAGGAGAACTCGTCATTTCCCTATTTATTGAACAATTAAGTTCCCTATCATTTAGTTCCTTGTTCAAAATGGGTAGCCAAAGTGGCCTTATTTCAACCGATGACTGACTGATTGGTTGGTCTGCTAATTTAATGTACGAGGCTTCAATGAGTTTACGTTTGAAAAAATGAGGTTCCTTATGGACAATTTTTGCCTCTTCAAAATTAATTCGATGATTTTCGGACCAGCAATGATGAGCGATCTTAGATTTTTCCACTAAACCTTTTTTGGTGTTTTCTCTGTGTTCTTTGATTCTAATGTTCAACAGTCTTTTTGTCTCGCCATAGTAAGGCCTGGAACAATCATTGCAATTTATTCTGTAAACACAGTTTTTAGTATCCTGAGTGTCATTTTTGGGTTTTGTTTTGACGAGACTCTGCCTAAGTGTGTTTTGTGTCCTAAACGCTGTTTGCACATTAAATTTCCTAGCAACCCTTCTGATTTTCTCCGACAGTCCTGACACATACGGGATTGACATGTGGACGAGCTTTTCCTTGCGATTTTTTAAAGGTTCACGCGTAGCCCTATCTTTCTTGCATTTGTTTATAATGGATCGAGGGTATCCGTTACTAGCCAAATCCTGTTCTACTTTCTTAATTTTATCCTTTAACTCATCCTGATTGGAGCAAATGCTCTTAGCCCTGTCAAACAGAGAGCAAGCAACCCCCTCCTTTTTTTTATTTTTTTTTTTTACATTCGTGATGGAAAATGTCCGCAATAAACCTTTGAACAACATTAACTCACCATCACCAACAATGAACTTCAAAGAAACCTTTATTAGTTTTGTTTATCTACAGAGGCAACAACATTTAGGTAATAATGCAAAAACACACTAGCCTATAAAGAGATTATGATAAAAAAAAACAAAATGTCTACAGTATCCTACTAAATTGAACTGATAGGCCTATCTGTTAAGTAGACACTAGATTGAAATAGCGTGAGCTGTAAGTTTTTTTTTTTGCCACAGTAGTGGTGGCACTAAAGATAAGAGATTTACCCGAAAAATTGGTTGTGGCCTCATCGTAAAGTTATGCTTATACAAATGAAAAATATAATGCTTCCTATATTCGTAGTAAAGATTTGAAGTAGTCATGGGCGTACATCTGACTTTTCCATAACAGAAAAAACCCTGTTATTCTGTACAGGGGTACAGAATAACTCTGGGGTGGTACTCTGTTTAACATTTTTTGTACAAAACTGTTGATTTTTATGTTTTTTTTTTCTTACCTAGCTCAAATTTAATCAATACAATTTAAAATTTAAATTTACAATTTAAATTTAATATTTAATTAAATTTGCAAGTTAAATACACTTGTTTCGTGTTTTTAGGAATACCGGTACCTATTGTGAATCAACCTGTACTGTAGGCCTATTTATGTTTTTATCGCACAATCTGAAAAAAATGTGGTTATTAACGTGATGTCTCATAAAAAGGGCTCTCAAGTCCACACTAGGCCTAGCCGATATTGATGGACGCCCAAGCACTTGTTCCTAATTGAGTTTTCCTAATAACTGTGAGAGACAAGTAGCTCCTGCTTAAGTTAATTTTAGGCTGAATAACCCAGTTCATGCTAGTTAATGATTAAGTTAAAGGTAAAGAGTTTGTGGGCATAACCTTAGACTATTAATGCAACTAGACATTCCATCCCCATGTTAAATTTGTAGCTAGATTTTTTGTCAAAATCGTCGTAGTTGATGTGAGCCACCTACTAAACACATACTAAACGCTGATCTAAATTACAAATTCTGTTGAATACACAAACTTTTTACCATGACAAACTGATGGAATGACTTAATGTGAGCTATGGCAACTGTTATGAACCATCAACTGTGTCAACAACAAAAAATAAGGTATAAAATAAAAGTTTGACACTAGCTCATTCTGTGACTGGCTCACACGACACAACTAAGTTGTTTTTTAGTAAACAATTGGCGACAGCTGGTCCATATAGATGGGATGTCTACATTAGTATCCAAAAGTCAATGGCATAACTTAGAACAATCCTACTCACTTTGGTTAACCCAGCCTTGAGCCTGAGCCTGCTGTAGCCTATCTTGAACTAGCTATGACTCAAACCATCCCACAAAGGGAAAGAAAAATTCAAATTACTAAAATCAAGTTGGCTAGATCTCGGTGAAGAAAATTTAAAAACATTCTTAACATGAAGCTTAATGACTGTTGTAAGGATAAATTTGGAAAAAAGTTCATAAAATTGATCATGTTTATCATAATACCTTTTGCCATAACCTTACCATCGATATATAACTACTACTGGATTGCGCGCTGTCCATAAGAGCTGTGTAGAGAAATTCGGTCGCGTACAGGTGTGAGTGGCGGGACGTATCGCGGTGTTGCAGGCGCCCGGTAGGGGCAAAACAGCAACTCGCGCCGCCGCCCACTACTATTCCCGCCAACGAACTATCCCGCCAAAAAAATATTCCGCCACTAGCAACCCCGCCAAATCTATAATAGTTGTTTTTAGTTGTTAATAGTTGTTTTTAACAATTCGAGGTCATGTACGAAGAAGCAAAAGTAAACCATCTGTGAATGAATCATCCTGCTAGTTATTAAGTGGACATATAGCACTTTCACGTGGTAGTTTGGTTAGCAATGTATGAATTAATGAAATATGAAATAATGATTTATTCCACCATAATTACATTACATACAAATGAAATAAAAACTTGGGATTACGTTGCCACAGCATCCAGTTAATGTGACAACGTTCAATAAAAATTAACAATATAAAGTACATTCTATAAACTTTCAGTCCAGTCCACACATGAAAAACACCTTGCCGCTCTCTGCGGCTTCTTGATGACAGTTGTTAAATTAAACAAAATGAAATAACAATATTATTACAATAATAGATATTTACAATAAAAATATATTAAAAAAAGAATCCTATATAAGCAGTATAAAATCATGTAAATCAACAATTTAAAACAAGATATGCAGATTTGATAATTACAATACAAAACGTTAAATTTGCAAAGATTTAGAAAAACAAAATTCTTTATGTTACAACACTATTTAAAAAATCTATATTTGGCGTCTCAATTAACCACTTTATTATTTGAATAGAAAATGGCTTTAAATTTGCATTGCTTTTGATATCGTGAGGTAATTGGTTGAAATATTTTGGCCCACTGTACTGATAAGACTGTCTAAATATTGATTTGTTTACTTTGGGAAATCTAAATAATCTTTGACTGTTGCTTCTTGTGTTGTATGAAAGATTGTTTGTTCCATTATTCCCACTTCGAATATAAAAAAGTCTTAATACTTTATAAAAGAACAGGTGTTGAATTGGAAGTATTTTTAAATGGACAAATAATGGATAGGAGCTATCTCTCTTCTGAGACGGAAGGTCAAAATTCTTCAACCGCGGCTAATAGAAGAGATGCTAGGATAAAATCCATGCGTGAAATGATTGTAGTGTTTAAGAAATAATTTAAAGCACTTGATAGGTTAATAGAGTTTTTAGAGGAAAAGTTTTCAGGATTTCCGTTAGATTTAACTGCCCATTCTATGAAAAATAGTAACACCAGTAAATTCAGGACCGTGTATTCAGAAAAAATGAAAGAATTTGCACTCACTGTCTATTTTTACAGTCCTAAGGCACACAAATACAGAGACAAAGGCAATTGTTAGTTGCGATATTGATGACTGTGAAGAAAACCATGTAATTGACTTTCAAAGAGTGGTATCTGCGGAAACTGGATCATACTACAAGAATTATGTATTATATTATAAGTCTGGTTAGAAAAATATTAGGTACAGTAACATGTGAAGAATGTGTTAGTCTTTTGACAGCTGACGAATGCAATTTAAGTAGCTACACCCATATGTTAACGTCGACTTTGGAGAGGACACGCACGAAATTAAGCTGATAAAGTTAATCGGAAATTTGTTTTTTTTATAATTTGCTACAGTCATGCTAAAGAGCAAACCAGCACTGTCAAAAGTTGGTATTCGTCAAAAGCTAACAAAATTAGTACTTTTTAATAATGCGTGAAATGTAGGCTACTCTGTGTGGTACTGTATTCAAATAAATGGTTTTTATACAACTGTACTGTATTTTTGTTGTTTAATTTATCAACCTTTTTATAAAACCCATAACCCAAACCATCCAAGCAATTTTTAAATACAAATGCCTATTATGTTATCGCCCAACTTTATAACAATGTAAATACACGTTGTACTGTATAGCAATTAATTGATTACTAACTTATACACTTTCGGTTTTTAATATAACTATATAGTGAGTCAAAATATCCCCCGATGAACATTTTTCGTGAATCAATAGTTTAAAATAGGGTAAACAAATGCTATCACAGCGTCAGTGCGATGTAAAACCCAAGCACCGTGCGGGTTTCTTGCCCCTTTCTTGCCCCTACCCGACGCCTTCAAGTGCGAAACGCAACCACTGATTTCGGCTCGGGCTAGCGAGCTCAGCCAGCAATCCAGTAGTAGTTATATATCGATGAACCTTACCTGTCAGTTAAACATGAAGACTGCAATTATTGGTGGTTTGGTTATGTTATGTTTAACTTGTTTGTCTGATTGAGTTAACACTTAGCCTAATAGTTGAGTTTTGACAATCTGACAAAAACGACAATCGAACGAACTGAAAGTGAAAACAAGAAAGAACTACTGTAGTGTAGTACTGTTCTGATGTTTGAGACTGTTAAAAGGTTGACATAACACAATGACTGACAGACAGGGACAGGTGCGGTGCAGGTGGCAAAATATGACAAACCAAACCAGCTGAGCAAAGTACTTGCGCACTGCAGTTAAGAGATAAGATAAGAGTAAACTCTAACCACAACCACTGAAGTAACCAAAAACCATAGAATAAAAACCTCTAACGCGGCTGGCTGGTTACATCAGTTTTGCCACCATTTGAAAGCAAATTATGCAACATTACATACCATTAGTATTATTGTATGATATACAAATAATGTATTGATTAATTGAGACTTTTACAATATTTTTGTGTTGCAAGCTAAGGCCATTCTATAATTAGCAGTAATACTATATACCTAACTGATTTTCTTGAGTAGTATAGAAGGCTTAACCAATTGATTATACCAGGTTTTTTAACTCATTTTTTACATTTGTTAGCAATTTATAACGCATTAAAAATTTAATTGCTGCTTCCACGCTTTATACATAGCACTATTTTAACTCAGCGTCATGTATTGAAAATTCATCACGGCATCCGAACCAAATGTTTGCAGGCAGACAAAATATGTTTTATGTGCGACCTCAGAGTAATAAAACAAAATTAAGTAATTTTGTAAAAGTAGTAATTTTGTTTTATTACTCTGAGGTGCGACTGAATACGACGAAGATCCCAATGAGCACAAGGAAACCCAACGTGAGAAAAGATTACCCTTAAAAAAAATAAATTAGCTAAACAACAATTTTGATTTGTTAACTACGTGATTTGCTTAGTTTACAGAAATGTACCAGTGTAAATATTGGACTGAGCAAATCATAGACCCTACAGACATTTTCATGGATTAAAATAATAGATAAAACGGTGTTGGTTAGTCTACGGTCAAACCAGTAAATCCAGACTCTGCACACCTCTATGGCATAAAAGTACACTTTTTTGTTGATATCTCAATGTTGTCCGTAGCCCCAAATGGGATCCCCCCCGGCACGTCGGGCGCTCCAGGAGGTGCGCTCAACGTATCGGGAAGTGCGTAACGCATTCCACCTACCAATAAAAAAACCCCCAAATGGGATCAGCTAAAAAAAAATGTAAATATTAAGCCCTATCAATCGACACCTCATTTTAAAGGTCCTAAGTGAAAAAGAATATTGGTGAAAAATATGTGTTATCTCTACTCATTATAGATGGAATGGCAGTTATTTTTCATTTTTCATCAGCCTGAAAGACCCCACTTAATAAATATTAAGTTTATCATAGGACTACGCAGTTATCGTAACGTTTATAGAAAAGATAGAAGCAGCATAAATTATTACCTTGCCACCATCTCAGTTCGTGTTTTCATGACCTAATTTACACAAATAATGTACTGCTAGATTTGGTTACAATTATTTAAATTTGTTTTATTGTTTAGCAGTCAAACTCAAAGAGCTTATAGTACGAGCGACCGGATTACGAAATACTAAATCTTTCCAGTGTAGCTGGTAAATTCTTTTAGACCAACGAATGGCCGGCCATAAAGTACAATTTTAATTTTATCGGCTATAGACGACAGAGGTAGAAAGTCTGTTATCGAAACAAAAATCTACATATATAGCCTGCTAAATAGGTAACTTACCTAACAAATTTACAAAGGACTACACATCTTCTATATCTATAAAAGAGGAACTATTTATGTATGTATGTATATATGTATGTTCCTTTTATGGATTCCGAAATCGCTCGACAGAATGTAATGAAACTTTTAGGCATTATCAAGCATTATTCAAGGATGGTTTGTATGAAGTTTGGGGCAGATCCGTCAAATAAAGGGCTCCGCCCCAGAGGATTTTAAGGGGTCCAATGTAATGTCAGACTTTTGGAACTACGATGTTTACAAATAAATCTATATATTTAATACGCGACGTGAAACTTTGTGAACAATAAGGCTTTTTTGTTTTAATATTTAACCCCACATATTATATACCAAAATGTTCGTCTAGGTGTGTAGATGTGCAAACTGGCTTTAGATTTTCGAAATATATCTTTTTAAGGGCGTGGGCTGCCCTCAAAGTTCCTTCCATAAGGATAACATTGTGATTGATTTGAATGTTATTATATTCTGAAACATGTCAATACATTAGTTTACAGAAAAATTAAATCCCAGCCCAGCTGTTTTGTTTGGTTTTGAAATGTAAACAGTTTGCATGTTTTTAAAAGTAATTAGAAACCCGGCAAAGAAAAGTTACCTATAGGACACGACGGGAGAAAAGTTTTACATTATATTTTCGTTTAAACATGCCAAGGACCCGACGACAAAGAAATATTGCCGGTCGGACACGGGGAGTCAACATACGGCAAGCAATACAAAACTTAAGGACGAGGAGCTGGAACAGTTAGTGGCAAAGTGTGCTTACAAAATTTAACTGACAAATACAAGAATTCAGCAGCATTCACTTGGCGAGATGGCATTAAAATGTCAGAAATCTGGTGCGCTACATTTTAAAGAAGAACAAAGAGGACGAGGTGAAGGATTTTCATCCTGCTGCTATAAAGTAACTTAATGGAGCAAATCATTTGAGGAGAAACTACAAAGAGAACATTAGATCGTACAACTCTGTGCTCGCAATGGTCAGCACTCGAGCTAAAATTGAAGAACATAACGATGGAGGGCCTTTCATGTATAAGGTGCACGACACAATTTATCAATCAATTGGCACCTTGCAACCGTCAGAAGGGGAGCATCCCATATATGCCCAAGCTTATATCTACGGACGTCGAAACCGCTGTTCAAGAAAGAATGCTAAACAAAAGCTAATGGCTCTTGCAGCACTGAACTCATGCACATTTTGACTCAACATTTGGTTGATATTAATCCATACGCACAAGTTTTCACCATGATGAGCTCCGTCCTGCAAAATACTCCTACTGAACAGCAAAAAGACCTTAGCATGCATATACAGTAGCTAACGATCGAGCTCAAGACTAAATAGCAACGTCGATACAACGACGCAACTTCTAACGACGTTGCTACAATATCCTAACTTATTATTCGTGCGAATTCGCACGGGTTCACCTAGTATAATTTAAAAGCAGATAACTGTTGGTTTGAATAATCACAACATACTGTATTAGTCATGATTTGGAATAGTGCCACATTATTTTCACAGAATGCAGCACAGAAAACTATTTTACTTTTAGATAAGTCCAAATATATTAAACCCCAATCGCAGCACACCTGTGCACTCAACAACTTTTAAATTCTCCCCTACTGTATTAAATATCTGTCATTGGTGAAATGTTATCACAAGATGACAATATCAATAGTTTAACAAAATTATTACAGTTTGTTTGTTCTAGCTAGGCAATATTATAGATTAAACATACTCCTTGGGGAGTATGTTTAATCTGAACGTAAAAGTAAATTCCTTAAAAACAATCAGTTAGCCTATGTACTATTCTTATAAAATATTTTATTTTGATTTTCATTCTAAATTATTTAACTCACTTTTTTTTTGTGTAAAAATGGGGTTTTCCCATTTTTGACCCTAAAAAATTTTGCAATTTCTTTCTAAACCGTTTTGTAGAGCTTAAAAAAATAAATAATTTAATACAGGGTGAATCTTCTAAGCTGTCCTAAACAGATTACAGAAGAACGGCTTGACATACAGAGATGAAACAAAACTTTTCCCCACTAATTCATACCCAAGGAACAACGTAAAAATATTTTTACCATTTTTAAAATACAGGGTGTTCAAGAAACTGGGGGTCATGGGTTCGAATCTCAGAGTTTTCAAATGTAAACATATGTCATGTTATGCATCATTTTAAAGCTCTAGACTAGACAAACAATTTAGTGAAAACATCATGTGAAACAGAACATTTAGTGAAACAGTATCATGGGAATAGTGTATCTGCATCCACTGATCTTCAGTACTGCACGTTTAACATGGGTTTTATATGGGCAATTGGAGTTTTTGGTTAATTACTAGAAAACTACCAAAGATAGACGGTAGGTTTAAATATAAAAGTTGTTCGTTTTTACAAGACCTTAAAAATGATACACAATTTTACATATGTTGCATTTAAAAAATTTTCATTTACAAGGCTACCAACTTAAAAAAAATTAAAATCGTAGAAAAAATATTTAGTTTTTAAAATGTTGACTTGTTGAATATCAAATTAAAGCTGAACCTACGAGGATTAAAAATGTTCAAACAGAACGAAAATGAGTTTAGTGGTTTTCAAGATACAGTGTATTCTGTAAGTATCAATATTTTTTATAAAAATGGCCGCCATTTTGAAACGGACAAAGATAAATGAGTTCTGTTTTCACTAAATTGTTTGTCTAGTCTAGAGCTTTAAAATGATGCATAACATGACATATGTTTACATTTGAAAACTCTGAGATTCGAACCCATGACCCCCAGTTTCTTGAACACCCTGTATTTTAAAAATGGTAAAAATATTTTTACGTTGTTCCTTGGGTATGAATTAGTGGGGAAAAGTTTTGTTTCATCTCTGTATGTCAAGCCGTTCTTCTGTAATCTGTTTAGGACAGCTTAGACGATTCACCCTGTATATTGAAGTGCTGTTGTATGCCTAACGGTCACGGAGAAAATTCAAAAATAGTGTGATTTAAAATTCACATGTTATTCTTATGGAGAAAATGAAAATTGTTGTAGTTTACTTGTTTATGGATATATATTGATAAAATTTGTCAAATTTATTTTTTTCATCCTGTACTATTGACGTATGGTCAAAAAACACTTTTTACCTTCCCCGTAGCAGCAAACCTAAGCACTTGTAAATCTAATGTTATTTAAATAGGGAATAAATATACTGTCTTATTTATGGAAATATTTGAGGAAAAAAGGAATCAGACAAGTTGAAATTCGCTTAGTCTGCAGGTTCGCTGCGGCGGGGTATTTTATGAAATGAAATGAAATGCTTTATTTCTGTGAACATGACACTTGTACGGAAAAAGTAAAAATAATATTAAGTAAGAGTAGGCTACTAAAAATTGCAACAACTACATAAGCAGAGTAGATAACAAATTCTAGA